TTTTCCCAATCTAAATCACAAGATTGATCAAAATTGAACTATTTTTGAATTCTTGACAAATATATGAATGATTTAAATATGATAGACCCATTTTCCATCTATTTTTTATACACACATTTTAAAGACCTCCTACGAATTATGATCATTACCAAATTCATTCAAAGTATTCTTTTGAACGATTTCATAAAACTTCGCATACCTCAATTGGTTAAAGATGTACAGCTTGTATGTCTTGGACAATTTTTCATAAAATTCTACGTTCTACAACTTTGCCTAACACAGCAAACCTTACTTACCTTACCAATCAGGCAAAGGCCTTGTTGTCCTCTGCTGTCCGAAGAAGTCGTCTCCACTCTACGCGATCCATGGCCACAGATCGCCAGCCTCGTAGTCTGCGAAGGGTCCGCAAGTCACCTTCTACTTGGTCGATCCACCTTGCCTGCTGCGCGCCTCTTCTTCTTGTTCCTGTTGGGTCGCTTTCTAGAACCATTTTCACTGGGTCGTCGTGCGGCATTCTTACGACGTGCCCAGCCCACCGTAGTCACCCAATTTTTGCAATTTGGACGATGGATGGTTCTCCCAGCAGCTGGTGCAAGTCGTGGTTCATTCGCCTCCTCCACGTTCCGTCATCCATCTGCACTCCACCGTAGATGGTACGCAACACCTTTCGTTCGAAAACACCAAGGGCGCGTTGGTCCTCCACGAGCATAGTCCAGGTCTCGTGGCCGTAAAGGACCACCGGTCTAATCAGCGTCTGGTAGACAGTCAATTTCGTGCGGCGGCAAATTTTATTCGACCGGAACATCCTCCGGAGTCCAAACTAGGCACGCTTCCCTGCCATAATGCGTCTTTGAATTTCTCTGCTGGTATCATTTTTGGCGGTCACCAGTGAGCCCAAATACACGAACTCATCGACCACCTCGATTTCATCACCGTCAATCTGAACTCGGGGTGGGAGGCTAACATTGTCTTCCCTAGGTTCCTCTTCCTTTCATGTATTTTGTCTTTGATGCGTTGATGGCAAGTCCAATCCGTCTAGCTTCAGCCTTCAGTCTGATGTACGTTTCCACCATCATCTCAAAGTTCCGTGCCATAATGTCAATGTCATCGGCGAAGCCAAGGAACTGGATGGACTTCCTGAATATCGTGCCACTCGTGTCTATCCCAGCTCTTCTGATCACACCTTCTAACGCGGTGTTGAACAGCAGACACGAAAGTTCATCACCCTGCCGTAACCCCCTTCGAGATTCAAAGGGACTCGAGAGTGTCCCCGATACTCGAACAACGCACATCACTCGATCCATCGTCGCCTTGACCAATCGCGCCAGTTTATCCGGAAGTCCGTACTCGTGCATAAACTGCAATAGCTGATCTCGATCGATTGTGTCGTATGTGGATTTGAAATCGATGAACAAATGATGTGTGGGCACGTTATATTCGCGGCATTTCTGCAGAACCTGCCGAATCGCGAAAATTTGGTCCGTGGTAGCGCGGGCACCCATGAAACCCGCCTGGTATTGCCCCACGAACTCTCTTGCATATGGTGACAGACGGTGGCATCGAATTTGGGAGAGTACCTTGTAGGCGGCGCTCAGCAGTGTGATCGCGCGGTAGTTGCAGCAATCCAACTTGTCGCCCTTTTTGTAGATTGGGCATACGACACCTTCCATCCACTCCTCCGGGTAATATCTCCTCCTCCCAAATCTTGGCAATTACCCAGTGCAGCGCTCTAGCCATTGCTTCACCACCGTATTTTAATAGCTCACTTGGTAGTTGGTCTACACCAGTTGCTTTGTTGTTCTTTAGCCGACCGATCTCCTCCTCAACTTCTTGAAGATCAGGGGCCGGTAGCCTGTCGTCTTCTGCGCGTGCTCCAAGGTATGTTGCCGTGCCACCTTCGTTTTCTGCTGCTTCACCATTAAGGTGCTCGTCATAGTACTGCTTCATCCTCTCAATCACCTCACACTCGTTCGTGAGAAGGTTACCGTCCAAGTCCTTGCACATATCGGCTTGCGGCACGTAGCCTTTGCGCGAACTATTTAGCTTCTCGTAGAACTTCCGTGTGTCGTTTACGCGGTACAGATTTTCCATCGCCTCGCGATCTCGGTCTTCCTGCTGACGCTTCTTCCTTCGGAAAACCGAGTTTTGTCTGTTCCGCGCTTGTCTGTATCGCTCCACATTCAATCTCGTGCGGTGTTGCAGCATTCTCGCCCGTGCTGCATTCTTCTCCTCTACTAACAGTTTGCATTCGCCGTCAAACCAGTCATTTCTTCGGTCCGGGATTGCAGTACCTAGTGCCGCTGCAGCAGTACTACCTATGGCTGAACGGATGTCCCTCCAGTCATCTTCAAGAGAAGCTGCGCCAAGCTGCTCTTCCGTGGGTAGTGCAACTTCCAGCTGCTGCGCGTGGTCCTGGGCAACTCCGGCGTCCCGTAGTTGCTCAATTTTGGGTCGCGGCGTTCGACTTCGACGTGTGTTATGCACCTTCGAGAGTTTTGAACGCATGTATACTGCAACTAGGTAGTGGTCCGAATCTATGTTCGCACTGCGGTACGTGCGGACGTTGATAATGTCGGAGAAGAATTTCCCGTCTATTAGAACGTGATCGATTTGGTTTTAGGTGTGTTGGTCAGGTGATCTGCAGGTGGCTTTGTGGATATCCTTGCGGGGGAAAAAGGTACTTCGAACTACCATACCCCGGGAGGCTGCAAAGTTCACGCATCGTTGGGCGTTGTCGTTCGATACGGCATGCAGGCTGTTTGGCCCGATTGCCGGTCTATACATTGCCTCCCGTCCTACCTGAGCGTTCATGTCGCCGATGACGATTTTGACGTCCCGTTGTGAACAGCCGTCGTACACCTGCTCCAGATGCGCATAGAACGCTTCTTTCTCGTCGTCGGGTCTCCCTTCGTGTGGGCAGTGCACGTTGATGATGCTGTAGTTGAAGAAACGGTCCTTAATCCTCAACTTGCACATCCTCGCGTTGATCGGCTGCCAACCAATCACGCGTTGTCGCATCTTACCCAGCACTACAAAGCCGGTTCCCAGCTCGTTGGTGGTGCCACAGCTCTGGTAGAAAGTAGCCGCTCGATGCCCACTTTCCATACCCTTTGTCCCGTCCCGCAAAGTTCCTGCAGTGCTACGACTTCGAAGTTGCATGGTTGAAGTTCGTCATAGATTAACCTATCGCAACCTGGGAAGCCGAGCGATTTGCAGTTCCATGTTCCGAGTTTCCAATCGTAGTCCTTATTTCGTCGCGTAGGTCTGTGCTGTGTTTTTTTTTCAGGGCGGCTTGTTGGGCCTGCCCCAACCCCCTGTCTCGCCGGGGGACCATCGTGCACAGCTCTGTTTAGATTCCCATGCTGGCACTAGGACAGTGATCAGCCGCTCCTAACATATAGAACAGACGACGTTTTGAGCCGCACCTCCATGGTGAACAGACGCTCGGGTTTGGTGAAGCATTTCCTCTATCACCGTACTATGGTTACCGCGCCAGTGTTCGCGTCACACCTCTTCACTTTGCTATTGCCGGACTGGCAACATTGCCCAGGCTACACCACCCAGCTGTGTCCATGTTTCAGCTGGTAGTCTTTTGTTATCATATGACTCGAGGAGGCGTGAAGTAGGAACTTGTGAGGAACAGGGCTAGGTATTCCGCTCCTTCCAGGTTGTCAACTCACCATTTTGTAGCAAACCTCTATCTTGTAAATCTCAAAAGTTGCTATCACAGCGCCATCTTTGCGGTCAAAACTTGAATTATTTTATCTACCTAATTGTAGTCCTAATTATACAAGAAACTTCGCAGAAGCCGTCAATTAAATTGGATGCAATCCCAGTGTGTTATTATTTTTTCCTACAAGATTTAATTCCTAATTTAATTGATTTGTGCAATGGCAAGAATCGATTATTTAAACAATGCGACAGTAAGACACTGTCGCATTGTTTAAATAATCGATTGTTGCCATTGCACAAATCAATTAAATTAGGAATTAAATCTTGTAGGAAAAAATAAAGACGAATAAAACATAAAGTGAAACAGTTTTTTAAATAAGGGTCAAAGTTTTACCGAATGTTCAGCTGTTTAAAGTTCGGTAACAAATTACCGATGTCGGTAATAATTTCTAACTGTGTACTGCAGAAATAATGTGACTGCAAGGATTAATTTATAATTCACCATTTTTTGGAAATTTTTCATAACTGTGCATTGCAGTGATTAGTAATAATTATTACTTTATGATTCCATGCTATAAACGTCAAATTGGATTGTTGTAGTCGCCGATAAAAATTGTTAAATTCTTAAATGTACTGTAGTAAACAATTACTGATACGACTACTGTTCCGGAGATACGGCATGATGATGTTTAGGTGAGTCTCGTCCACGGACTAGAAACAACATAGTTAATCACATGATAATTCGAACTCAAGTCTAATGGACGTCATAACGAGTAATAAGAGCTACATTGTGCACATCCGGATGTGTTGCAGGTTGCAGGTAACTCATTTTCAAAGTTTTGCTATAGCAAAATCCAATCAGGCGAATCTTAGTCACATAATAGTTCAAAAACAATATCTTTCATTCATGGTCATATAAATTGCTCAGGACCAAAATGGCCACAATAGTACATGTTCCGGGAACACCATGGGAAATGACCAGATTATGATATTAGCTTACACCTACCATGTGACACATGAATCATGAGAATTCAAGGGCTCTTCGAGGGTCAATGTATTTCGGATGCTCCCGGTGTGGGGAGACGATTTGAACCTAAGCATTAACACAGCAAGTGAAGGCTCAAATTCTTTACGTAACGCAACACAGCTAGGGACACATAAAAATAAAAAAAATTGTAGCAATAATATATTCCATGGTTCCCATTGTTTTAACTTCATGCCTGACCATCATTGATCATTTAGAAATAATTATTCATATACTTTATAAAAAACCAAATAATAGTTTCTTGCTTAAGTAGTGATGAATTTACCGTTCATTGAATTTACAGTTCCTCCTGATATTCTGGACTATCCTACCAGTACGGACATGGTGGTGCGGGAAGGAAGTAACGTAACATTACGGTGTGCAGCAACTGGATCTCCTGAACCCACGATATTGTGGCGCCGAGAAAACGGAGAAAATATGTCATTACAGGATGGACAACTGGGTAAGAATAATTTATTTCCCTATTCGGCACATATGCATACGAAACATGATACTTAGGACAATTAATTAACAGCTTATAGAACGTTTACAATTGTGAAAAAATTGTAATTAAATATTGGATTAATGAATGTCTTCATTCGAAACTATATAGAGTTACAGGTCCTATTATTATATTATTATGTGATCATTTAGACCTCGTAGATATCACATTGAAAAGATATATCATATAATGCGCAAAAAAAAACTTTAATGTTTATAAGTACCTCATTGTTAAAAAAAATATTAATTTTGAATGCTTTTCATAACTAACCTCAGATTATGACAAGGGCTTATTATTGCAGCCTATGGCCAAAATACGAACATCTCCCCTTTGATAAAGTTTCCACCATAATTTTCTACTGATCTGCTATATGTTTTCCGCAAACATGTACTCGCTACAGGAAATGGTAAAGAGATTAAAATCGGCAAAGTTGCCTCTAACTGGGTGGGCTGTGGTAGGTCGGTATGAATATGATATGCAATTGAACTAAGTGATGTATCGGCCAAACAAGGCAAGAGCTGAAAAAGCTGTGAATTTTACGAGCATTTTGAAGGCACAAGCAATAAGCATGTTTTATTATTTATTTCTATTTGAGAGCATGTATTCACAGTTGATGGCACGAAGCTATTCGTGCATTCAAATTCATCCATCGTAATTCTTCGGAATAGGTTCATTTCAATAATTGCGGAACTCCTCTGGGAGTTAATGTTTTAATTTTGTCATTTTCAGCTTGCATTCTGATGTCTACCATCCAATCAAGTGCTCAAATTGGAACCAGACTTCCACAGGAGGCATGAATGGTCAATTTTTTATCCATTCGAGTCAAAGCATTTTATATTTTAGGTGTTTATTGAAAACGTACCAGTTCAGATTAAGATGAATCGCTGCCTTTATCTTTTGATTTTGCGTTGTATCTGTTTTGTTTATTCAAGATTTTGAAGATTATGATCCAAACAAAACGATGCAATGTTTTTCCCTGTATTGTTTTCCGTCGATGTTGTTTTCCGTGCTGAGCACCAATGCTACCGACGCCAGGGAGGCAGCTCCCACACCTGGACCCTACAAATCGACCCATCAACTCATAGACTGCGGACCAACGGTTTTACTTCCCTTCCGAAGGAAGACGTGATCAGATATGTTATGCCTCAGAACATCCCGGCGGCACCGACTGGGATTGAACCCAGGCCTGCTGGGGTGAAAGGTAATCACGCTTACCACTACACCACCGGCGGTGCCGTAAATGTAATGCTTTAATTATTGATTGTCTAACTCATAACTTTTTTATGATCATTCATAATAAGCCGTTACAAAAAACGCATTAAAAACACACACAAAATATATTTTATTTTTTCCCATGTTACCCTCAATATACACATATGTGGAAGCATTTAGGCCTTATCTTTTAAACGTGCTAGATCACTAAATTAGAACAAAATGTGTTAAGTTGTGTGTTTAAAAACGAAATTATTGAATTTTGTCTAACGTGTTACCAATTTGCATATTCAATTCAAATTGAATGAAAACTACTAGATAATAGATTAACGTTACAATATTTTTTTTTGTTCGGGACATTAAACTAGTAGTTTGATCTATAGTAGTATATCCCGTGTCCTTAGTTTAGTGCATGTCGCATTACTCCATCACTATTGAGAAATGATGAAGTATTCGGTTTTGATACAGTTGTCATTTTTTCCTTCATCGCAAGGAATCGATTCTAATTTTGAAGGTCCCGCTATTTATACCCTTCGGAGTGTTGAAATACCCTCCAAAGGCGCGCCCCTTTGTAGGTCAAAATTGAATTTCTTAACAACAAAAACAAGCAATGACACCGATAATGACCATGCAATTCAAACTAGAGAACAGCGAATAAAAAATTAGGGATCACGTAAATGAAAAATAACTACCTAACAAATTTTTTCCTTGTTTCGTTTTATATTTTTTCCTTGTAACGTCACAATATAAGGAAGAATCATAATAACTAAACCTTAATTGTTAGTTTTCTGAAGTTGTAAATATAAGACGAAATATATCATCAGAAATATAATATAATTTGATCTACAAAATTAATATATGATTTAATTGGCGTGTATCATCATCGAGAATAAAAATAAAAATAAAAATTAATTGGCTTGATACACATTTTAAAATTCTGCCAAATGTTCAAATTGTATCGTTATGAGTACGAAAAAGTTTGTTAATGGCATTTTAGAGCAAACGTAAAATAAAATATTGGTAAAATGTCGTACTACTTCAAATGTATTGTTAATAGATTTCATTATGTTGCTTACAAATAGAGCTTCATACTTGCCGAATAAAGCATCCAGCAAGAGAACAAACAAAAAAATGTGACCTTAAGGGTGTTCCGTTTTATTAAGTTAACAGTCCTAATGCAATGAAACTAAGTTCAGAAGAAGCCATTGTAACATTTTTTGTTCAATATCTGATAGGGGTTTGAATATAAGGTGGTTTATTTATTAGCGGTATTTTGGTATTGAATTTGTGGTTTAATTGAGCGTGAAATGGATGCAATAGAAAACTAACATTTCAGATCTTGCTCAAAAACCGATCATCAATACAGATAATCATTTATTATAAACTGGTAGGGGAAATGACGGCTTCGGCATGCCAGACTATTTTCGGCAACCCAAATTGAAACACTATTTTCACTGGATTTTCTTACGAAAACACTTCGCTGAATGCATGCAAACGATTCTTTATGCTTTCAGCTTCAATTTGACTATATTTTTACCACTGAGAAAAAGCAATCTAGCAAGGTTTTCTTGAAATGAAACACACGCACTACAAATTGTAGCTGATTTCGAGTTGCCGATAATAGAACAGCAGATTTACTTGCAGTTCACATGGAACGATTGCCGAAGAAAACCTGGTTGCCGACAATACTCGCTCTCACTAGAGAAGATTGGAGCTTTGTAAAAGCGTTTCAAAACAGTTTTTGACAATTCTTTCGACGGAAATTGTTGGAGCAGCTGGCGGCAAAAGATTGTAAACAAACCAATACTGCATATGTGTGCGTTCCTTAGAGAAAAAGGCTATAGAAAGAAGGTCGCTGCTTAGGTTGCCGAGAATACGTAAATTCCCCTATATAGTTTTTTCCCTTACGCATGATTTTAACCTACTGAATGCTGATATTACTAGCAAAATCCTTTATTTATTGCCGAAAAAATAATAACAATCCATAGTGTGTTCATCTTCCCCTAAAGGGCCACCCACATTAGATCCGTTTGCGTTGCGTTGACGTAAATTTGACAGTTAGACAATAGATTTAGCTGTCACTTTACCGCAACGCGTCCGATCCGGATCTAATGTGCGTGGGCCTTAAGACTTATACTTCTGACTAGAGTCGGTGTATAATGAGTCACGCCAAGAGTGAAGCCAAGTATACCTATTGAACTGTCAAATCGGCTACCTATCGTGCAAAGTAAATAAACATTACGATGCTATGAAAGGTCCACGAAAGGTATTGCAATGAAATATAAAAAAAAAAATTGAAGAAATCATCATAAACACGCAGCGAGCATTAAATGGTCATGGGATACGTTTGGTTTTGATCAGTAATGAGAATTTCTTCTATTTTTTGATAAGATAATTTGACAAAATCACTGATATTATGATTCACTACAGCCGTTATTTTTGGTTCTCGCTAGAAGTCATTTAAAGTTGATGTAGAAGTCCTCTGTTGCCAAGTGAAAAGAAAGGGAATCCTTCGGAAACCGTGATGCGAGTTCAACTGTTTTTCTCTTGGCGTGACTCATTATACACCGACTCTACTTCTGACCTTTATACGTATATTTTTTTAAGCGCTTTTTTGCGGTCGTTGTTCTTAGTAGGCTATCTCATTTTCTGTTCATCACAGGATATTGAGGTCTTTGAAAACATTTCTCAGCACTATTGAATCCACAGTAGAGCATCGTTCTACGACATTTAATTCAAAAATAGAATCGAAAGCCCCCCATACTGCGTAAATAAGAACTCATCATAAACCACCAAAAGTTGACCCTTTCTAAACTGAGCAACTATGTCCATAACCACAAACCTGTAGGCAGCATATACACGGATAGAGGTTTTTTATTTATTGCACACCGTCTTCGACTACGTCGTACTGACTGATTACTTCAAACTAAAACTTGTTTAATCTAAACCTCTTATTCTATTACTAAACACATTTTTGGACACAGTAAAATCAAATTCGTTACAAACATCATTATATGAATGCAAACAGGAATTAAAATAGTTATTGAAACCGAAGTTAGTTCTGTGGAATGGAATTGACAGTAACGGGCCGTTACAAAATCTGCCAGGAGAAATGTTCCATGGAATCCGTTCCAGGAGTTTGGGGCTGTCCAAATTGTCGGTAATTAAGTTGAAGATGAACAGTCGTTGCAATTTTATACGCCTTGCTGAGAGAGATTCCATAGGAATAATGATTGGATCATTCCATGGGAGCTGACGTAAAGCAAACCTCATGAAACTTTTCTGAATCCATTCAATCGTGAGAAAACAAACGCAGATGAACACTGCAAGAACACTGCCTTGTGGTACGCCAGATGGAGTGTCAAAGGTCCGGAACGTACGGAATTCACCACGACGAAAGCATTTCGGTCATACATGTTCGAGTTGAGCAATTCCGTGATCCAGGTTAGAAATTCTATGTGATTCATTTTGCTAATGATGAGGTCGTGTGGTACTGTATCGAAAGTTTTCGCAAAATCGACGTAACCGAATGCACTTGCTGTTTTAATGCTATATGACGTGATATCGCTGACACATAACACATTCGGTTTGATGTCGTTGAGCGGTGATTCATAAAACTGTGCTGGCTGTTGCTAATGATCGGGGCAGCAACTCTGCACAGAGCTGTGTGGATCAGTTTCTCCAACATCTTACTGAGAGTGCAAAGTATGGATATAGTGGAAATGGATGTTGTTCGCCGAAAACTCATC